TCTCGTATATATTAAATTTTTTTTATTTATTTATATTCTCATCCACAGAAAAAACTTGGACTCATTTTTGTTGCAACTCATTTTCTTTTGGGTATCGAAATGAGTATGGGACAAACTTCATGTTATTCAAAATGATATTGGCTGGAATTTCAGATTTCTAAGTTGGCATCATAAGCAGAGTAATTTTGTATTTCAATTATTGTTTCTAATATTTCAACAACACCAGAAAGATTATTTTGACCAGTACGAATATTTAGAAGTTTTTAAATAAAAATTATTTATTATTATTTACGTAGATAATAATTAATTTCATAAGTTTTTAAATTTACCGCTATTATTTAAGTTGGCAGTACCGTTCCTGTTGTCAAAACACATGTTCTCATTTTTCTAACCTAAAAACATATTTCCTTTATTATTTTATTACGCGATTACAAGCAATTTTTAATCAAATATATTAAGTCTAGCGTGTTATTTACTTCTTTGTAATTATTATATTTCATGTTTTTGTGCAAAATTATTCGTTATTTTACAATATTTTTCGATTTTTCTTTTTCTCAAAATGAAACTTTCCTGTTTCATTTTGATACTTTTACCTTAGAACTCGAAATGAAACAACCAGTTTCATTTTTGTTGCGAATCAAATTGAGTATAGAATCTATACTCAATTTGAATTCAGGTTTTTTCTGTGTCTATATCTTTTTATGTGTATATTTTTGATTGAAAACGATTTTAATTAACAGGATAAATTATTTTCTTTATTGACTGTGAGAACGTAAAAGGTATAATTTTTCTTTATAATCCTATTTACGTTAAAACATTTGCCTAAATTAAATGTATTCAATTTGTATCAATTAGATATGTGTTTACCTGAAAAAAATATTTGTTTTTTTCGTTAATGAAAGTACCTACGTCATTCAACGATGTTATATATATGCATTAATATATAGGGAAGTATCGATTTCGGGACGCTTTTTTTCGCGACAACTTCGTAAATGTATACAGGGGTGTTTTATTTCAAGAAAATATCACTAAAATACTGTTATGAGAGAAAAAAAAACATGTTGTTTTTAGTGAATCAAGATATAATATAATTTTTTTTTCAGTTGTTTCTGTTAAATCAAGTTAGTCAAGTTTATATTAGTAAAAAATAAAAGTAATACAATATTTAAATCCAAAGTAAAAAGATAATTTAAAAAAAAATCAAAGAACAAAAAGTATATTTTCTACAACATGTAATATATTTAAAAATTGTTTATTTTATTGAACCTATTTATTTTTAGTATACATAAATAAATTTGTTGACAAACAACTTTAATATAAAATTTTTATGATTAAACTTTCTACTTTGTAATATAACTTCTCATAAGGAGTGCGTTTTTTGGGAGATATCTGGGAATTGTATATTGTATATAAAGTTTCAGGGGTTGAAGAAATTAGGGTTTCATATGGTTCAGTAGAGTTTATATTTTTAGAAAAACTTTTCTTTATTCAAACAAATTTTACGATAAACTTCTTTATCATAAAAATCGATAGAATAAATTAGCAAAAAAAAAAAAAAAAAAAGGACTACTATTATACATTTATTTCATATTTGCGCAGTATAAAAAGAACAATTTGTTTATTTAACCCTATATATTCAAATTTAAATTTTATTTTTGGAAATATTTCAACGTAACAGACAAACATATTTTAAAAAAGGGAATTTTAATTTTTTTATTTTCAAATATTTTGAAATATTCGCATTAAGAAAATACTGATTTGAAAAGGAATAAGTTTATAATAACCAATAAAAAGTTTTTGTTCTCTTCAAAGTATTAAGTAAGACAGGTTTATCTAAAGGTTTATCGATGTCTATGTTATATAGAAAGTTTGAAACAAACTTTGTATTTAGAAAGTTAAATGAACACAACTAATCAATTACTGTGCTCCTTTTCATTGCAACAAGTGCAGTAATTTTCATCGAATAAGCTTCTGAAACTCTAGAATTCTAATTTGTTTTCATTATGGTAAATATCCTATATAGCATCAAAATAGCTGCTTGAAATAAAATTCAAATTCAAAAGTAACAAAAAGTTTTTAACATTTCGCAGAATATAAGATATTTATTGGCATTTTTTTTTTTTTAATTATTATAAAATACTTTGAAATCGTTTGACCATCACGTGACATAACAATCATATGCTGTTAAATAAATTTTATTTGAATATGTCATTATTTTCGAATTAATACTTCATTGACATTTCCATAAAAAATTAGAAATTTTAAATGATAACATAACCTCAAAATTTAGGTCATTTTTGGCGGGAAATCCATCTCCACTTGCGGCAATATTCAGAGTCTTGAAACGAACATAACCTTAAAATTTATGTCATTTTTGGCGGAAAATTCGGAAAGGGAGAAAGGGAGGGGGGATGACTTGCGGCTATATTCAGAGTCTTGAAACGAACATAACCATCTACAAATTATACACTGTAAAAAGTAAATCTTATTTTAAAATCACTCTTAAATTCAGCAGTACTAGCCATAATGTATTTAAATTAAAATTGCGTGTAAATTCATTGCTTAGATTCAGCAAGGGCTCCCAAGAAGCACGTAATATAACCTCAATATCAAGGTAATATTACATGTAAGATTCGTAATATAACGTTGTAATATTACAGTAATCTTACAGTGATCTTAAAATGTCCGCCTCAAGGTAATATTACCGGTAATGTTACTGTAATATTACGCGCTAATATTAAGGTAATATTACAGTAATATTGCAGTAATATTATACCGTAATATTAAGGTAATATTACAAGAGAATATTACAGTAATATTATGGGAATATTTCTTTACGAAAAAAATCTACCCATCCAGGGAATCGAACCCCGAACTCAAAGCACACGAGTCCAGAGTTTTACCAACAAGCCAAATTGACTTATAATATATTTACGTTTTTTATGCTTTATGAATAACTCAAATCAGTCTGTAATATCACTGTAATATCACCGTAATATTACCGTTAATATTACAGTAATATTCCCGGTAATATTACCTTGAGGCGGACATTTTAAGATCACTGTAAGATTACTGTAATATTACAGCGTTATATTACGAATCTCACGTGTAATATTACCTTGATATTGAGGATATATTACGTGCTTCTTGGGCTGTCTTAAAAATGTTACCTTTTAAAATAAGACAACTTTTTTGTCTTAAAAGAAGACTTTCTTTTTACTGTGTAAATTGAGTATACAATTAGAATTATTTTTGTCTGACAAAAACTGTTTTTTATTACTGAAAAAAAAAATGTTGCAAGAATTTGGAAAAGCTTTCATACCATACTCAAAGCGAATTTTAATACTCATAAGGAAAATTTAGAACTTAGAAAACAATTTGATGAAAATTTGCATTATTCTAATTATAAAACTAAAATTACAAAACAAAAAAAATTAAAATTTTATATGAAATAATTCGATTTTAGCATTCTAACAAGTTGAGTTTAGTTTGATCCGATTATTGCAATTTTATCAATGATGTCTGACTCAAAGTGACCTACACTATACTATATTGGCTTTTATCAATTCTATACTATATACATTAAAATTGCAAGAAATTAAAAAGTTTGACTGCAGTGACTTTTTATTAACCTTTTATAACATTTTATAACCATGGTAACGGTTGCTATGGTTACTGTTACCATGGCAACCATTCGAGTGTACGACCTTACTTCAAAATAATTTTAGGTTATGTTTGTGATTTTTGAAGTGAAAATACTCAAGGAAAATCAACTCCTCATACAAAGAATTTATGCGTTTATTATGTAATTATATTTTTTAATTTTGCTAACTTATCTCTATGTGGATTCCCATTTTTAGCAGGATTTTACTCTAAAGATATAATTTATGAAATATCACTAAAAAGATAATTTTATTATAAATTTTTCTATTACAATACTATTTTTTATATCAATTATTTTTGGAAATTTAATAAACTGATTAATATTTTCATCCTTAAGAATTAGAATCCTAAATTTCAAATTAAAATTTTTAATTTACTTAATAATATTTTTTAGTTTAAGATTTTTAATTACTAAAAAAAATATATGAAATTTAAATAAATAAATAAATAAATTTAAATAAATTACATTTAAATAAAATTCAATAAAAACTAATTTTTATCTTACCTAATTAAAAAGAAACTTTTTATCAAGGTAAAACTATCACTAAACATAACCTAACATTTTTTTGACGTAAGATCCCTTCTCTCGTGGAGCATCACATATATAATATTTTATGTTTTCTGATATGAAACTTCCGAAAGGCAAAAGTACAGACGTTAGAAACTTCAGTAAATTTTGTACAAGTCGTAGTTGTACATGACCTTTTGATAATATTGATTTTCGGATATTAGTAATTGAAAAGACAGAGAGGAGAAGAAGTTTTTTGGATATTGAAAATTGAAGAGAGAGGGGGGGGATATTATGTCCCTAGTAGCACATAATATTACTTTAATATCAAGGTAATATTACATCTGAGATTCGTAATATTAAAATGTCCGCCTGAAAGTAATATGACATGTAATATTGAGGTAATATTACATGCTGCACCGAGAGACTTTTTATTTTGATGAAAAAAAAGTTATCGAGACGGGAATCGAACATCAAACTTAACGCATAGCAGTCGAGAATCTTAACCAACAGACCAATTCTACTTGTAGCATGTTTACCTTCAGGCGGAAATTTTAAGATTACTGTAATATTACCAATTTTAAATGTAATATATTACCTTGATATTATTATGGTAATAATTGGAAGTGTTAGTTATAAATTTTTATATTTGTTATTAATTTTTTTTTTTTGATTCTAAAAAAAATTCTTAACAAATATTAATGCTCATGTATTTTTTCAAGATTTAAATTGAGAATTTAAAAAAAATGAACATTTATTGAAAAAAAAAGAATAAAAATTTTTTTTTATCGTTGCGGAAAAAAAATAGAGGAAACGTTGGAAAACTTACTTAATGAACATGTAGACGCCAGTTGTTTCCATAGATCTGGCAACAGCTTTCCAACTTGCGATAATGGTGTATTTCTGCCGTGCTGAAAGCGGAAGTCGCGGATCTGTGGCTGCTGGCGGTGGCGGACTATCGCGACCAGATTGATTCTGTGTTGTCGAGGAAGCCAGTTTACTAAGCTTGCAACCCATTGTGAATTAATGCTCACCCTTTTTTTTTTTTTTTTTTTTTTCTTTTTCCCTGTTTTCACTTTCACGGCTGAGCATTCACATCACACCCAAATTTTTCCAAAGCCAAAGTCCTCTTGAGGTGTTTTTCCTTTTAATTTTACATGGCGATGTATTATTTTACCTTTGATATATATAAATATATTTAATATTCAGTCTTTGTGCACTTTATTCTTTATATAGCCCATTCGAGCGCGAAGTATCTTTTTTCGTTTTAACGACATGTTGATTTCGGACTGTTTTTCTTTTTTTTTTTTTTAATTATACATTGTTACATTTTGTTGTTGTTGTTGTTGTTGTATAGTTGTTAAGACTTTTCTTTATTGTTGACTTGTCTCTTGTTATTTATTTATATATATTTTTTAAGATTCCATTTTCCTTATATGAGGAAGCACATCCTGCACATATTCGATTACTGATTTAATTAATTCTCGAAGCAGTACACTCACATGAAGTTTCCGGAGTGGATGCAGGATTCCGGAATTTCAGATTATTGAATTTTGTTGAGATTCTCCTGGGTTTTCTACACAGATTTGTAGAAGGCTTATTGAGATATAAATAGAAAATATATACGCACATAAAGAATATTAATTTTTTTTTTTTTGTTAAGAAATATTTTTATTAAATATGTCAAAGAGTATTTTAAATTGCAGGCGTTAAAAGCTTATTTATATACATATATCACTTCCTCATTTAAAGGGAATTAAAGTTTTACAATAAATATTTTTTAACAAACATTTTTAATGTAATAAATGTCAACCAAATAAATTCTCTTATTTAAATTAATCCAATTATAAATAATTTGATGTTTGTTTTTGAAATATAGTAAACCAGTTATTAATATTATGCGATTTATTAAAACAAAAGAAATTTTATATATTTTTTATTTTGATTTAGTTTCAATTAATGAAAATTTTTCGGTAAAAAAGATTGAAAACAAAAATGAAATTAAAATTACTTTTTAAAAATGGTAATTTAAATTAACGACATCAGTTCTGAACAAATTTAATTTTCACTGAAAAGTAGTTATAATTAACGATAATATTTATTATGAAAATAATTATTGTATGTATTAAATAAACGAAAAATCAATTTTCACAAATTAAAGAGCAATATTAAATTTATCAAATTAATATGTAATGGAAGAAAAGCATAAAACTGATATTGAAAGAAACTAAATAATAATTTTATCCAATTTTCAGTAAATTTAATTATCCAGAATATTTTCCTATCATTATTATATGTCGATAATTTATATTAATTTTCCAATATAATGAAAAATGATAAATCTTCTTCATGATATAAAATAATTTAATTTATAAATAATAATAATTTTCAAATTTTTAATATATATAACAATATTGGTGTCAATCTTAATATAAATAGATAAATATAAAAAAAAAATAATGAACAAAAACCTTGAATAATTATTTCAAGTTTATTATCAAATGAAAATTTTTATACTTATATTTTTTATTTTTAAAGTAAAGAATTATTTTCTATTTATATATTTAAATGTTGACAGTGATTATTATTTTCAGAAAATATACTCGAGTTTTCTATTAAAATATGTACTCTCAATTTTCATAGAGGAAATTGAGTAATTTTGTTTTCTTTTTTTTTATGCAGTCTTTAATGAAATGGATGCTCTTATCCAAATGAAAAATTTGTTTACAAAATAAAAAGAGTTATAGTACAACATTTATCAAAGCATTGCATTTTGAATTAATTTTTTAATAACGACCAAAAAAAAAAAAAAATAAGAAAATTCAAATTTGAAATAAAAAAAAGTAAAATCATATATATTCTTGTATTTGGATATAACTTTTTTTTATATTGTTAATGATAAAACTAAATATCTTATATGATTAAAAAAAGTAAATTAAAAAAGTTTTTACAAATTTTAATATATCTAGGAACTTGGAAATTAGTGAGATTATCGTTTTACAGAGAAGAAACTTTTTAATCGCACGTAATAATCGCACGAATTAACTTTGTCGGGTTTTAATTAATATTTTATGTCCAAATACACCGTCTAAAATTCTGATTGTAAATGAAAATGTTATATGAACATTAAGCATATATTAAAGTAAATAATTTACGATTTTCGCAATTCAAATTCATAGTAGATATATTATTTAAACAAGATTATATAGCTGAAACCTTTGATTTTCACTAATATTTGAATTAATTATTAAATTTTAAACAAAAATTAAGGTATTGAGTAAATTTACCATTTATCGTAAAAACATGATAATGTAATTAAATATTAATTAATAATAACAAATTGTAGTTTCGATGTTATAGACTATATAATATTATTATTATTATTATTATTATTATTATTATTATTATCATATTTGAAAATACCGTAAGATCCATAAGTATTGGGGAAAGCTTTTTTCTAAAGAGGAACTATGTATTAACATCCTCATGCAACACTATCATTAGTATCTTATGGAGTCATAAATCTTGATACAACTTTAGAAATTCTCTCAAAAATTGACCTACATTATTTAAAAAAAATTCTAGTAAAATATTTTCACAAAGGGAAAATTCTTCAATGTAATATATATCTAAAATAATAATAAAATGTACTCTCTAAATTTGAATTAGTAATTCTATTTAATTTAGTAAAATTTGTTTTTTTACTAAAATTTTAGTGAAAAATGACTAAAAATTAGAAAAAATTTTCGCTAATTTAAATTAGTGAAAGAATTCTCACTTTAAATTTAAAGCAGTACCTAATAATGAAAAAAAATATATTCTTTACTTTATACCTGCAATTTATTCTACTCTTAACTAGATGAAAAAATGACATTCAAATTTAATAATTAAAATATTTCAATTTACATTATGAATTTTCATTGTAATGTATATGAAAAATAATTATTTTCGAACACTAAATTGAGTGTAATTGAAAAAAGAAAAAATTTATTTCATTTTTTTAATGTAATATATATTATATGAGAAATGTTGAAATCTGTTGAGAATAATTTTTACAAAGAAACAGCTTCACGACAATTTAATATTGCACCTACTCTGAATATAAATTTTTTTTTTTATCAAAAACATTTTTTCACGCATTCAAAGTGTTTAAAAGGAACGAATTGCTCAATTAATTATTATATTTAAAAAAAATTGAAGGATTCTAAATTCATTTTGCTAATTGTATTTATTTTACATATTTTATTGTAGGAAAATTAATTATATTTTTTTTCATTTTACTTTTATGAATATTTATTTTATATTACAAATGTTATGTTATATTAAATTTATATTATTATATAAATGTTTATGTTTCTATTTATTTTCTTTTGTTTAAAATCATGTTATATTCGTTTATTTAGTTAGCAATATTTGAGAGGTAGTAATAAGGCGGAAGAAATGAATCTTTACAATTCAATTCTTTAGTTATACAAATGGAATTTGCTTTTCTCCTTTGATTCTTATGACTTTTATCGATTGAAATTCAACCACTGTCTACTTATATACTGAAACTATTCAACCACCCAACCCATATAAACCACAAAGATCCCCTAGAAAACTTCATTACCGGTCTCCAACAAATCCTTAAACACTTTCGAGATCTTCAATCACATCAACACTCCCCCAAAATCTTCACTTGTCTTCAAAATAGAGAGGAAAAAGAGAAACAAAAATACACTTAAATTTAATGAATAACCTTTTCACCAACAATAATAAAACTATATATTGTCATTAACAGACGTTAATCTTTATCAAAAGAAAAAAAAACAAAGAATTTATTCACTTTTGAAAAATTTGAATTTTATGAAAATTATCAAGAAAACTACAAAAAAAAATTTTTTTTTCAAATTTTAATAAGAAGTCAAATTAACTTCTTTCTTTCTTTTTAAATTCTGTTTATATACGTATATTATCGTATGTAACATGAGCTTACAGTGATCGATTTACATGGGAAAAGCTAACTACGAATCACACACGAACATGTCACGCGCGCTTACACATTTTCCCCTTTCTCGCGATTTCTATTTAAATACCCTTAAAGGGAGAGTTGAAAAGCGGAGCATCTCTCGTTGACTGGAGAAATACTTCCGGTTTCACGAAAAAAAAAAAAAAAAAAAGAAAAAACATAAAAAAATTTTTTTTATTTATAATTTCTCCTGTTGAATGTAATAATTTTTAATACTTTCACTTGTAGGTCTTGATAAATTTTTTTTTCTCCTTGTGTATGTGATGAGAGAAAGACGAAACGCGAGAAATTAAGGGGGTGAGTTATCCCGGGGCGCCTGGACGAAAGCGTTGGGAAGATCGAGAACGTCGGCCGTATTGCCTACAGCCCAGGCGAGCCGAGACTGAAGCGCCTGTATGAAGCATTCGTTGTTCCGGAGACGCATGCGCCCCTTCAAACATCATTGTAATCCGCTAGCTATAGAAACACACCACTAACTCGCACATCATATATATATATATATATATATATATATATATATATATATATATGTGCGATGAGAAATTAATTGTTTCTCCCTCTTGCAAGCACCCCCCATAGTGAAAAGAGAGTAGAGAAGAGACACTATATACCACCCTCCCTTCGTATATAAGCTGAGACGTTATATTTATCTTTAAGGGCATACTTTTCTCAGCAAGTGATAAAAGCTTCACTGACAGGATTCAAATAGAAATGTAAACAATTTTTCAACCTTTATTATAAACATTGGTGATAAATAAACTTTATAACATAATGGATCACAAATGTTACTTTTTATATTTTTAGTTTTACTTATAAAACAAAGCGTTATATTATATGTACTGGTAATTTTTTCACAATTTCAAACCTCGCGTATAGCGATGTGTATAACAAAACATTGAAAAAAATACTTGGGTGTTAAATTTTTTTATTACTTTGTCACTATATCTACAGTATGTAATACAATATAAATGTGTGTAAATTCAAATCATACATTTCGTAAAACGTAAAATTAAAAAAAAATTTCATTTAAAACTATTTGAAATAAAACATTTTTGAATCTGTTTTAAATTCTGTTTTATTAAAATATAGACACTTTTTTAAAATTATTTTTAGGGTTTCGTGTCTTAGGACCGAAAACTTTATATAGTTTCGCTTTGGCGTCCACGCAACAATTCCGGATTGTCAATATAAAACCAGCAGTTCTATTTGTTGTTGGGACAAAAAAAATTGTTAAAATGGGATTGTTATTAAAACTATACGGATTGTTCGGTGAACAAACAGAATTGTTTTTGATGACCAAAGAAAATTGTTATGGAACAGTTGAAATAACAAAACTAAATTGTTAAATCGTCAATACAATTTGTTTTATTAACAAAGCTTTGATCCGTCTAAAACAATTTGTTCAGTTTCTTCGCCTTCTAAAATAATCGATAGCAGATTTTCGTAGGTCATATCACCAGTTTCATTTGCATTAAAATCTGTGGAACATGCAGCTTCTGAATCAAATTCTTTGACCTGAAACCAAAAAATTATTTTGAGTTGGAATTTGTTGTTAAATAATATTTAATATACATTTTGTATTTTTTAAGGTGAGGTTATGTTCAATAGTAACCGTGTATAACTAACTTACCGATAGACGATGAAATTGTCTCTTCATACATTCACTACACTTGCAATAGATTTCTCATTTTAACCGGATTCATTATTTAACAGCACTTTGTCATTTAAAAAGAAAACTAATAATAAAAGCAAAAGTGGCACATGTGCCAGAAGCAAACGACGCGACGATCTGCACGCAAGTTTGCGAGAATACAAGATGACCACGTGACATGGAACAATAAACCTGTCAGCTGAACAAATCCAGAATGTTCCATCAGCAATCGACGGTGAGTTTTGCTTCTGCAACTGTACGGAATTGCAAACTGAACAAAACTGACAACAAAAAATTCGTATTGTTGTTAAAACAACATACATTTGTACTGAATACAATCCGAATTGTAATATCAACAAATCTACTGACAACAATCCAAAAATTGTTTGCACAACGATCCCATTTTTCTCCGTGTTGGTAACAGTTACCATAGCAACTATTACGATAGCAACCATTTCAATACACGGAAAAACTACGTGCAAGAATCATTCCTATAAATTTGTTCAGGAACTGAGGATATGAGAATAATTTAAGAAATCTTATTTATATTTTCTTTGAAAAATTCTAAGCAGTATTTCTATAAAAAATGGTAGAGAAATTCAAGACAACTTCCTAAACTCACTACAGAAAGTCTTGAACTTGTTTTAGAATAAATTTTTACGTTTGCGAGAAAAAAAATTTACTCTGGGAGGACTCGATCCCACGTCCTCGAGAGTCCAAAAACTCCGCTTTACATCTCTCAGCTACCTTAGCAGCTTATGGTATTATGCATTGGAAACATATTTGACACAAACAATCCCTGCCTACTAAAAAAAATGATTCAGACAAGAAGTCTTCCAAATGTCATAATAAAAATACAAGTATTTTCTTGAATGATTTTTGTATTTTTCTGTAAATTTTGCATAATTTTTCTCGCGTCCTCAGTTCCTGAACAAATTCAGGAATGATTCTTGAACAAAGTTTTTCCGTGTAGCAACATTTACTTTGCAACATTTACTTTGAGAAAAATATTTTTTATTCCAGTAAAACTGGAAAATAACCGATAATTATTTATTTTTTTGTATATTACAACATACTCAGTCACGATTATACAGATTTAAGAAATAAACTAATGGTTCCAAAATTCTACGACAGAATTATTTTTTTGGACCTACTATTATTGTTCAAAATTATTAACGGATTAATCGATTGTCCATCAATATTGTCAAAAATAAATTTTATTATTCCTTCAAAAGGTTTAAGAAATCAAAAACTGTTCAGAGTTAAATTTAATAAATCTAACTATTTAGACAACAGTGTTATTAACAGAATTTGTACTAGAGGTAACGAGTACTGTCACGCGTTAGACTTTTTTGGTATATCTTTAGGAAAATTCACAAACGACTTACGAAAATTAATTTTGTATTAGTCGATAAGTCACCTACATGATTTCGTCATTCTGTGATTATATTCATTATATATTTTTATAATATTAAGTGCTTTTGCACTAAAGGGCATTTTTAACTTTTTACTTGTAAGCCCGTACATTGTAATTAAATAAATAAATAAATAAATAAATAAATAAATAATCTGTCAAAGAGGATGTAAATCTCAAAAAACCTATTTTGTAATCTCAATTCTTGCACCAAAAAAGAAAATAATTCTCAAAATGAAAAGAATATTCCGCTTTTAAATTCTTTTTACATTTTTATTCATGAAAATGATTATATGAAGAGGTTTTTTTTTCCTAAGTAGAGAGAGAATCCTAATAGAAGATTATACTATACAGTTTTTCTTTACAAATATATTAAATTCTATACTTTCTTTAGATATTTAAAATTATATATTCCACTATACGATTAGGGATTATTCCTCTTTTACAAATATTTTTAAAAAGCAACTTCAAGTCGATGTAGTTTCTACGTTATTATTCTTTTCTAACCTATATTTTATTTTTCATAAAATTTTCTAAAAAATCACCAAAAATTAATAACTAATAATTTTCATTAATTATTACAAAGAGTGTTTTACTATAAAAAGGGTTTCATTTTTATAATTAAAACTAAAAAATTTCGGTCAAAAAAAATTATTTTCTGTTATTGAATTAATGGTAATTTTGTTTTAGCTTCTTTTTTCTTCACTTGGGAGAAATTCACTTTTCTGTAAATGAACATGTATACATATAAATAATGTATTAAAGTTCTTATAGGGTGTGAAAGTATTTTAACTATTTTATAATCTCGTAAATTCTTTAGTTTAACTTATAAATTTAGGCCAATGGGATATATAGGATACTTCCCTCGGGCAAACTTTGCGCCCCTTATATTTAAGGATGTTTTGGCCCTATTTTCCGCACTGCATGTGAAGAAATGTAGTCTTGATTCGTTAAGAGGGGAAAAAGTGTGGAGATGAGTAAATTTTATTAATGACATGATACAAATTAAAAAACTAGTTAACAAACTTGAATCTTAATCTTCTGATGCTAAAATATAAAACTTAGGGGTGGAATTTTCCTATTACACTAAGATAAGATAAAAACTTAATCTAAAATGAAAAATTGTTTTATTTATTTCTTTTTATATAAACCCCGAAATGATTTCATCAAATTTTAATGAATTTTTTTATTTTTTTATTAATAATCTTATTTTTTAAAAAGAGGTAATTATGAAAATCAATTTAATTTTTTAAATGGAATATTACATTATACTGTCCCAAATTAACTTCATAATAAAAAATATTAATTTTCTCATTTTATTTTTCACTTCAATGAATTTTTCAATTTTTCAATGAAAAATTAACTTTGTGCTAGAATTTAGCAGTTTTATTATTTTATTAACATTTCACTTTATACATTGATGTGTTTATTTTTTTTATTAGTTGAAATTGAAGCAGGTACTTAGCTAACTAATTATCTTAACTTTGTTGAGTCTTAGTAAAGGGGGAAAACTACCGTCATTCAATTACCATAGCATATAATAACCTTAAAATACCTAAGGCACACATATACTTTAGAACATGTACCTAAAATTAATTAGGTCTCTATATTATTAATCATCGTTTACCCTAAAATTGTTCGTTTTCTGTTTTTTTATGTGAATGTTTGATCATTTTTTTTGATGTAGATATCAAAATATAAAAGTACGTTAGTATTAAATATTGAAGGTTAATTAATAAACACTTAAAAGTAATAATTTATGAGTGCATATAGGAAGTAATAAAAAGTAAATAAATAACTATAAGAATATAAAAGGATAATAAATATATACATAAAATGATAAAGTATAGTAAATATAAATTTTCAATGATTAAACAAATATAATGGAAGAATATTTTTTATTCGCAAATAAGTTTATAAATAAAGTTAATTAATGTATATAATTTAAGTGGTATTCTGTATTTGAAAATAAAAATATTCTCTATATGGGACATTCTTCATGAAGCGGTCAACAAATTTTAAATCAATTTTTCCATTTTTTAACTATTAAAGATGCCATTTTACAATTTTGTATATAAATTCTACAAAATTTATAAGCTATTTAAGCTAAAATATTCGAACTGTATAAGAAATTGATTTAAAATTTGTTTTTCAATTTTTGAAGTTAAAATTAATCTATTTCAAAATTAAATTTGTCATATTAATAAATTCATATTAACTATTTAATATATTTATATTATATTAATTATTTATTTATTTATTCAATTGAGCCTCCGGAAAGTAAAACAACACATAAAATTTGT